TAAAAGGCTACGAAAGCACAAATATTGTCATGACAGAATTTAAGAAGAAAATTAACAAGATTGCCCCGCCAACTTCCACCACAATCAAGAGCTCAAAACCAACATCGGCCAACGCATGACAACCAGAACAGCAAAAGCCCTGCTTTTCTGGGTGTGTGGGAGCAAATTAAGTTTAAATGATTTTAGTCTTCTTCCATCTTCCTTGTGAAACAACCCATACTCCTACCTAAGCTGGTTAGGGATTCTCTTATCTCTTTGTAACTCTCTCCACCCCATCCTCCTGCTTCACTTTCAGTGCTTTGGGGGAGCTGGGAGAGCTGCTGAGGGAAGGGGAAACGGGTGTTATTCACAGGCAACACAAGGCACAGCAACACCAAAAGCACAGCAGATCCTTTAGAAACAAGAGTACAAACAGGACAAAGAAATACATTAACAGAAGATGTATAGTTATTAAGGGCTGGTGTCCTGAACTTATACCGGCAGGCCTTCATGTGACTCAATCCTCATTTATAATGAAAACGAGATTAACCTTTATCCTCAAGGATCTATGAAAAATATTTTGCATTTCGGGTGATCTTTAGGCAACAGTGGTCAGAGAAGTTTGGTCACTGATTGTTCATTAAACTTGTCTTTTGAGACTTTTTATAGGCCCAGGGTGCAGGAAACCAGCCATGGAGACAAACTAAAGGAACTTTCTGGCAGAATACAAACAAATCCTGACTTAAAAGGAAACTTGATCTTGACTTCTGAAAGTAAATATACATACGTAAAAGTAACCTAAAAGGGCAGCATTTCCAAAACACAGTTTATGCTGAATCTGAGTGCAACAGGGGTTCAAATTCAAAACAGATTTATAGATTAAATAGTGCTAAGATCACTTTAACGATTCACTTGAGCGTACCATGTCACTGCTCAATAAAAACTAAAAAACAAACAAACATGTGGCTAACAAAGCTCTGTCTATAAAAGGTTTCTCAGTGCCTACAGTTTATTAGTTGTGATTTTCAGATAGGAAATAACAGATGAAGCAATAAAATACCACGATATGGCCCCAAGATGTGATGCACTGACAGTTTTTGCTAAGAGAGAAGAGCAATGCTTTTATTGTTGTTCATTCAGATCATGTTGTTGGATATACGGGTAGGAACATTTACTAATTTTGATCAACAAGTACTCGCAGATTTCTGACAATGTGTACACGTTTTTTCTCCATATGGTGTTACCAGAGGCCAACGGGGCAATGGCAGACTGGCCTGTGTGAAACACATGGGCACTGTTGTGGACTATTGGAAAGCACTAATGTAGACAGATGGCATACACAAAGTTACTCCAATGACTGAGTCCACTCTCAACTCCACAACCAGTCTTTATGCGCCTGTATAAGCTGATTTATCATACTTTACTTTCCCAAATGTAAACAAAGACAAGCTAAAACAATAGTTTCTGACATGAAGCTAACAGTGTAACTGGGGGCGGGATATGCAACGATTCAGAACTTCTGTTTTTTATTAAGTAATGTAGTGGTAGCCGTCAACACATCCAGTGGTATATAGCATAAAAAGCAAAGGTACTAGCTAATTCGGAACAGCTAATTTTGCTCATGTTGCAGCCCAAAGTGCAACTACTGCATCCATGGGAGCGTTATATTGTATTTTCTGTAAAAATGAACATTTGTTCATAGAAGTAAAGAATTTTGACATGCAAAGACACATTTTTCTAACTTTCAAGCTTGTGTTATTACATAGACCGAGTACACAGACCATTAAATTACATCAGGTAGGGCAACAATGACCCTTTAAAATCCCCTGACAGCTAACCATATTAACCCTTTGTCCTAACTGTGACATCCAGATTGCACAGTTACAAAATTTGGATCCCGTAAACAAAAATTTGAATAGAAAACTAAGTACGACAACAAAAATAAACAAGCCAGACTGTTACAAAAACTATTTGTCACATGACCAACTTGCACATGTGTATTGATATACACAGTCCCATCCTTAGTTTAGACCTAGAATTGGTTGGGTCTCTTTTTCAACAAAAGCAAGATTTGAAATGGCCGACCACTAACTATGTGGTCTCAGTTTGTTGCAAGTAAAATTCATAGTTCTAACATATTTATGAGGCCATGTCACAGATCACTTTAACAAAATAGAGCTAATAAGCAAAATGAGGTAAATAATTCGAAATTACATTTTTCCGCTCCTTGAAACCGTGTTTAAAATGTAAACATTATACATAACGTTTAATAAATTGATGACAGCGGGTTGTACTGTTTGTTGTTCTGGTATAGGACGTAGCCACTGACAACGGCTGCTGACACAGGATGCTTTTTCTCACCAGCATTAGATTTTTCATTCACCTACAATGAAAACTATGAACGCTGTCTGTAAAAAAAAGGCCTATAGCTACAACTAGGACTAACAGATAAAACCTTGATTTATACTCCTGTGTTGAATCTACAAAGAGCCTTTGTCGTTGCCTACACAAGTGGCCTGCTCTATTTTGAGCACTTGTGTGCAGGTTTGTGTCTATGGCAAATGAAATGGGGCTGATAACAACGAATGTTGAGCAACAGCTACTAAGAGATTACTACAACATCGAAGAGAGAGAAGACATTGAAGTCTGTAAATGGACTGGTAGAGCTATGAAAACGAAAGAACAGCTACACTGGCAGAATACTGGCTCTTGCATTTGTCTGACACGTATAGAGCCTATTAGATTTTGTTTCACAGAAGCATTGTCTTTGCATAGTTTCCTTGTTGCTGGTTTTAAGGTAAGTATGGGATGCTGATTTCATTTACTCAAAGTGTCTGCTGCTCCCCAAAAATCACTTTGTAAGCCAAGTGCGTGTCAGAGTACGTGTCTGATTCAGCTTCCATTTTCAAATTACACTTAACTTTAATATTGTTCCTCGCAACATGTTCATATTGAAATTTATTTTGGCAATTTCCCTTGTCAATAGCCTAGCTAGCCTAGCTTATCAATTCATTTTGTGTAACAGCAGACACTGCAAATATGTAAACACAAATATTCCAAACCAGCATTCCATGCTAGCATAACCTGAAACCAAGACAAATTCTGGGAAAAACTTTGTTGATCGTGCTTATCAATAGCCTTGGCAGAGGTAACGCTGGATTATTAGTTTCAGAATGTTGCTACAAATACTTTTTACATAATCAGTGTATAGTACATTGTGTTGGTAGATACTTTACATATAGTCAACAAGTAACTGGATAATATACAATTACTTTAATACACTAAAACAAACAACTAGAAAACTGCTAAAACCAATACATGAGAGTCTGACTTGATTGCAACGCAGCCTGTCGAGCGCCGTAGATTTTTTGCTCTTAGCCACGACATAGTTAATATAGTGTCCCACAGGATCTCCACCCAACTGCGGTTCTCTACCTCCTATCTCCACCCCAAACTAATCAAGGCAAGCAACATTAACTAGGTCATTCCTGTTGTATGGGAAAATCAGACAGGAACTGTGCATGCTGCAGCACAGTATGTGTGTCCCATAAGGAAATTCAGAATTATCAAACACATAACGGATCGTATGCATCACAGGGCTCCAACCACTGTGGTGCACTTTCTTGAGTGTGCACGAGTTGAAATTTTACGTGATCGCACATAACGATTATTAGGCTGATTTGGTGCACCTTTAACTGCCACGGGTAGCTACTGAGTTAGCGACTGTGGTTGAAAGTAGTCCTTTTTCTTCTTTCAATCAGTCCCTGCCTGCCTGATTCTTGAAACAATCTACTCAGCTGTTACCGTGCTCCAATAACAATTAAAAATCTACAGCTGATTATTTAAAAAACACACAAAATAAGGAGGGAGAAGTCTGGCTCAGACACACCTGATGATAAGAGTACAGGTGCAGGTAGACAGATTACAAGTCAGTAAAGAAGAAAAAAAGTAGCTCACTACAATCAATCACAAAGGCTGATGCAGTTCTAGAGCTAAAAAAAATAAACAAACATAAACAGTGATTACAATGTTTTGCTTCCAGTAAAAGAATAAACAGGATTGACTGCAGTATTGACGTTTATTACGTGGACACCGCAGTCGGAGGTCAGCTAAATCATGTGCTGGTGCAACCGACCGACAAAGTTGGTAGCACCAGCACTACTAGTGGAAAGGTTAGCCTGGAGCCTTAATCAGGATGCTGTCTCGTCGTCTGCCTAACTTATGAGCCAACTACATGCTGGTGTGACTTAAGTTGTACCCTTAAGGCTTTGCAGAAATCATATATTATGTGAGCAACACGTGGTTTGACTTTACTAACTGCAGGTACATCAAGTTTCCCAGATACTACTGAGAGTAAAACCTTATCAGAAGCCACTCGGTCATATAATAACTGGATATTTTAAATGTCTTTAAAAAACATTTTTTTACACGTTGTAAAACAGTGCAGATAAGTTTATATGACGTGCCATGACTTAGTAACAGATCCAGTCATTGGCACAGGAAAGCGAACAGCACCTTGTAAAAAGTACCAGGGCACAAAGGCCCAGCATGGTGATTTCAGTACCACTGTGTGTTTAACAAGCCCACAGAGTCTACAAATGCATTCAGGGTTTTTTTTAAATTACTTTTGTTGACATGTTAGCCTGATTTCAGTCTTTTGGAGCAGCATTTAGACATTTAAAATGATCACTGAACAGATAAATTAATCAAATATCAGACTGCAATGCATTTTAAGACTGAAAGTACTGTCATTTTTTTCCCTTTATCTCTCTAAAAACATGCATGTTTTTAATGTGCTGGGGCCCACAATTCTGATTTGATATTCAAAAATAGTTTTGTCTGCTCTTCCCTTAATTATAAATTGGTTTATACATCTTAATTTGAAAAAGTAGGCCGATAGCTTGATGGTTTATGCATAGATATAGCATTTATCTTTAGAGCTGGGGAACTGTTCCCTTTAATGACCATCCCTTTGTTCATCCATCACCTGCCTGCCTCATCCTTCAACTCTACATACTTACTTTTATAGCCTTGATTCCAGACTTGGTGATCTGAGTCATCTTGGCCTTGGATATGGGCGGCTTGTACTCATTCAATGAGTACAACTGCAAGATGAAGGGAGACAAAAGAGATTTTTTTGTGATACAGTGTAACTACTATGACGTAAAAACGTTCACAGCCATCAAACAAATAACTGTCCAAAGCATCCTCCCCCTCTGCTCTGCAAGCTTTGTTCACCGATTGCTAAATCTTCATTTTGCATCTGTTACTGGTCAGAGACAATCAAGTTCCCCGTGAGGAGATGTAGTGGGCTTGGCTCTGACTCAGGTCATTTGTTGTGGCATTATCAATAATTCAGAATAGTCATTTGAAATGCAACTGCTGTCGACTGCAGAGGCTAATTTGTACTGGCACTAACTGTGAGTGGATAGCGAGGCCGGCATTTACAGCGACCACGACAAAAACACAGACTTTAGTGTCAATGCAGACATACGACGGTTGCGCTACTAGCATTGAGCCTCCTGCTAGCTAACGGGTTTGTCTAGCACCACCGAGTGTGCTCAGTTATCTCACGGCATTTATATCCTACACACTGGCAAGCTAATGCTAATCCAGTCACAATTACACGGCAATAATTTTATGGAGAATGAGAAACGGGTGTTTTCTCCACGTCCACATCAGGTTAGTTAGCTCACCAAGTTATCACGCAACTGTGGCGGTTTTGCTAACTTGATGCTAGCTAGCAACCGTTAGCACCAGCCTGTGGAAAATATTTCTACACCGACTTTAAAACCTAACACGGCGCATGTTAAGCAACACATTCTCTTCTCAGCTGCAGCCTGGATAGTTAACATGAATTAGACAGTAAATAACTTCATGCTACATCGCTGTGCACCGACAGCGGCCTTGTGTGAGACTCCTCTCCTTTTTTTCTGCTACTTGATGCTAACGTTAGCCAACTAGCTACAGCAAATGTGAATTGGACAACATATCCTTCGATATGTTCACAATTTTCTGCAAGTGTTTCCAACAAACCTCATTGTTAAATGCTTTGACGGCCTCCATAGTGTTGTATTTCGGCTCGCAGGTCACTGTAAATATTTACAGATGTCTCCTCTTTAACCGGTTAAAAACATGCATGCCCGACGTTTGGCGAGATGGAGGAGACTGCCAATATGGCGCATAACCTCAATGGGGAATCTGCAGAGAGACCGGCGACTCCTAGCGGCAGCTTTGCGACATTACAAGTTGTACCAAACGCTCCTCCTTTTTTGTACCAACTGTTTGGAACATCACATGGCAGGTACTGTACATTATCAGACACCATCATCTGTGGTCACATTGATGACAAGAATCCAAAACAAATGTCGTGACAATACTTTATTTCTCTGTATACAAACAACAAGCACACCGACATTCATACCAGAACGGAAAAACAAAGAGATTTAACATCACGCATTCATGTACAGTTATTTACATCGAGTTAATATCTTACAGGCGCAAACAGATGACAAAGAAAATGCATCATTGTGTCTGGAGTTTAATTGGATCCCTACCAGCAGGTCCTGTCATGATGTCCAAGGCCCCTGTTTGGCCTGAGATTCCTAAACCTGTTGCTTTGCAGTCACGTAATGCCTGATGTCTGGATGACATCAAAGTCAGACATCCTTTATCTGGAGGCCTCCAGTGTCTACCGGGTATTTACATTTGCTTGTGCGGTCCTGGGAAGTTTGTCCTGAGAATCATCCATCATGCATCCTGTGTTTAAATGCAAATTAATACAGCTACACCTTCTACTCAATACACTGTTAATATCAATAATTGGGTCTTTATTACATTTCAAATAAAATACAAATTAAATTGTCTCTTATTGTCAATGTTTGTGGTGAAAAAGTACACAGGTGTTTTTTTTTTTGCATTTAGGTTGGATTTAAGTAGGTTCTTCATTTTAAAGTTTGTCTTTTCCACTAAAACATCAGGTTAACACATATCTCGGCTTTAAAGTACATTACAGTAACAAGGATCTGTTTGACTCTGAAAAATCTGAAATTCTCATGATTTGCGACCAACATTTGTTCTGTTAGTGCAGGCCCTAGTGTTCAGTCTGGAAAGTCTTACAGGTAAGCACGGTGATAGAATTTCTAGGGCGAATGAAACACAAACTGCTCACGACAGTCGCTGTAAAACATACGTAACAGGCACTGATGGTGCATGGCACCAATAATTGACTAGAAACGGTTTAAAAACAAAACAGAAACTTGTTCATTACAGATGAATTCAAAGTAGATAAAACATACCATAAAAACAAGTGTTTCCATGCAGAGAACGGCTCTATTGTTTCAACGTAAACCATCATTCAAAGTAAGTTTACGAACAGGTTCATAGAATTACATTTAAAAAAACAGCTGTAAAATTGCTAATCCTACAAATGAAACTGTGAACATAACACTAAGACACATTTCACATTTGAATGTGAGCTGCTTATCACATAACGTCTCCATGTCCATGTAGAAACTACAAACACTCTTCATTGATCCAGTTACTTGTTGAATAGCACTTAAATATCCACTTCTATGGAACACAGGTCTTGACTGAATGACCGACAGCAGTGTGTGTGTGTGTGTGTGTGTGTGTGTGTGTGTGTGTGTGTGTGTGNGTGTGTGTGTGTGTGTGTGTGTGTGTGTGTGTGTGTGTGTGTGTGTGTGTAGTCCTCCAAGTCCAAATACAGTAAAAAACAGTCGTGTAAAGTCTTTATAAGCTGGTCTCCACCACAGGAGCAGCAACGACTGATGCTGCAGCCTTTGTGGCCTCCGACGCCACCTGCTGGTCGTGTTGGACGCAGATCTCCTGCACCAAGGGCGCATTTGCCTCTTTCCACGCTCTGAACTTGTCTGAAGTAAGCTCGGGGTCTGACAGCAGCTGCTCTAACGTCTGCAGGTCTGCCTCTTTTGACTGCACCAGAAAAGGAGAGAGCAAAAGAAAGCAGAGGATTAAATGAAGGCATACAGCTCTGCACTATTTTGCAAATTACAAACTAAGAAATCCTCAGAATGCTTTAAAACAAGTACTGAAGCTGTCTAATACAGAGTCAGATCAGGATCGAGACAGACGGACAGGAATTGTACCTTTAAGGTGCTGTTGAGTGTCCTGATGAGGTGCAGTTTATCATTGACAGTCTGGTTTTTACAGCGTTTTATGAAGGAGGCCCTGAACTCCCTCCTTGTGGATGGTTTGCGATCTCCTATCGGCGACAGGCTGGCCTCTTTTAGATGAATATACAGCTTCTCCATCTCATCTGAGCCGTTCCCATGATCGCCTGCAACAAAATAAGGTTGCAGTATATTGTATCATCACCACACACAACACAGTGATTACAATGACTAACTGTCTACTGTAGGGGGATGAAAGTCAGAGAAAGAAAACTATACTGGTACACTGCTGCCCACTTAATGTCTTACTGCTTTATAGAATATCCTGTTTACAATCATAAACCCGAATCATTTCCTATATAACCTTCAGTAAAACAGCCCGTTTATTGTCATAGAATAATGTCATAATCCCGTTTTTTGTCGGAATTCACCAACTTCACATAACGGAATTCCCCGAAATTGATTCCAGGAAGAACTTTTGCATATTTAAAGTCATGCTCGGTGGATCGTTACGGCTCACTGGCCGAGTGTCGGTCATGTGCGGCAGATTATCACACCTGGTGGGCCGTGGAAGGCAATGTGATTGTTTGTTTTTCAATGACCTGCTCACCTGAGCTCTGCTTCACTGAGTTATTCACATGCTGTCTGACATTAATTAGGGCACATCAAAGAGAACCGCATTGTTGCGGAGCGTGTTGTCAGTCATTACTGAACTGCTCAGCTAGTTAATCATGATAAGTTAATCCTCTGTATACCCACTGATTAAAGGAAATAACTTTTATCGATGGGGTGGCTTTTCGTACCGATGAAGGGGAACTTTCACTGAAGCAAAACCGTAAAGCTCCGTTTGAATAAACATTTCCTGATCTTCAAAGAAACCGTCCCTGTGATCTTGTGAAAACATTTCCATTTTGGTTTTACGTAAAAAAAAAAAAAAAAAAGTTTTTCGTCACACAGACATAATTTTCTCAGAGCTCTATCACCGTTTACACTTCGATACGCTAATCTTGATTCATCATCAGCCCACTTATTGGAATATCCTGGATATCGTCATAAGTCCATCCTGGACCGAGGGTATGATAATAAACGGGCAGCACTGTACCAGCATGTTTAAATGACTCACAGGTTTAAAGACACAATAAAGTGATAGAAAAATACATTTTAAAATCAGAAACAGAATGAAAATGTGGCAGCAAACGCATCAATCACATCTTCCTTCAAACACAAAAGCTGATGTTTTCTGCGAGCATGTTTTTCACCAACAGCAATAAGACATCAGAAAATAAATACTTCACGTAAAGAAGTTTGGTCAACAACAGAACCATCTGACTTTGCTTAAAACATAATATATCTAGTGATTTAATGATAAGACAGTCTTGTATAGAAAAAACAGCCAATTAAAGGAGTAAAACAAAGACTCACCTTCGCTTTGAGCACCTGCAGCCTTCTGTTCCTCCCCCCGCGCTGCAGGGTGTTCCTCATTTGACTCTGCCTCTGAGGAGTCCTGGGAGGCCAAGCTCTCCAACACCGTCTCCTCTTCCGTCTCCTCTTGTGGAGGCTGATGTGAGTGAACCTGGGCTGAGCACACCACTGCCGTCTCCCCGACCGGAGGAGACGCCTGCGAGACCAGGTCCATCCAGGACTGCCGGTGCTTGGCGAGCGAGGAGGCGGAGCTCTGCGACGTCATCGTACTGACGGGTGAGGAGAGCGAACCGTTAGCTTCGCTGGGGACTGCGGCGGAGTAAGGGGGAGGAAGGGTGCCCTGAAAGAAAAACACACCAGGGTCACATGTAATGATTTACGACTACATCAACAGGTTTTGTTTGACACGTAACGTAGTTTTATTATGTTTGACGAGAAATGATCTGGTCAGCAGTGTAAACATGCTGCAGTTAAAAATCAGGAAATGAAGAAGAATGAAACTACATTTGAAAGGTTAATATGTCATGGCTGCTCTAAATATGTTACTGACCTGATGTGTGCTACCAGGTGGACCAGAAGCATCCACGGAGTCCCGCAGAGTCTGTTCAGAGTACGGTGGAGGGGGGATCTCTGTGCTTTCAGCCTCTTCATGGTCACTGGCTTCACTGTAACACTCTGAATGGGAGACACATAAAAAGCAGGACAT